CCACAAACATTAAAAAAAAAAAAAGAAGAAGAAGAAGAAGGAACAGAAGAGAACTTACATGAGGTACAATATCTCTTTTCGCCGGCAACTGGACTTGTATAGATGAAACAACATGACCAGCTTCAACCCAACGTTTGGAGTGCAAAAGCTTAGCAGTGATTGTTAAAAATATTTCTTCAGCATCAGAGGAAGCCCATAGAGGATACCACGGACCAGACTTCCATTCTATATCATAACTGCTCTGGGGCTCTATTACAGGAAGAGAGAGAATTCCACATCCAAGTTCACACCTGTCACCATGAGCAGCCCATTTGAACTCCACTCCTTCAGTTGTCTCATAAAAATTAGTGTTCTTTATCTGCCAAGTTGAATTCACACTAAATGTTAAAACAGACAACATCACAAGCATGCAGAAACTGGAAAAAGAAAATATATTTGAGTACCTTAATCATGCTTTCCCCTATAGAAACCTTGATTGGTTGATAGACATACTTAACCTCTGCAAACAGTAATTGAGCATATAAGTGGTGATGCAATCAGACAACTGAAATACAGATATCTTAAAGAGGAAAGTGCTTCAGTAGTTTACAAATATGAAACTCCAGTAGGGTACCATGTAAGGCAGGATGAGGAGTTCGATCCGGCCATGTAAGGCCATTCAAGCAAAAATTTAAATCATTGGGAGAATCCCCAAAGTCACCACCATATGCCCAATATTTACTACCATCTTCATTGTCCTTCAGTAGGCCCTATAAGCAGAATGGAAAATATTTAGTCATTCCAAAACATTATGCTGTAAGATAATGGGTAAAAGAAATGGAGGAAAAAGGAACTAAAGGAGATGAAATGGGCGCTTAGTACAAGAAATAACTTGCACTTGGGTATTCAGACCATGTATCCCTGCCCAACGAGCAAGGTTTGAATCCCCTCTCCCACAACAATCCTATCTTATAACAAAATACAAGGAATAACTTCACTAGCAGAGGACCCAGTTGCAGTTAACCAACTAGAACCAGCCCCTAGCAAATCCCGTTTTAGGAGATAAATTAACCATAACAAACAAGATACAAAAGGTCTTTATCTAACAACTCAGAAAAGATTACTCTGCTCTTGTAAGTAGCAGGTCATTTGCCTTGCAAAACCAGGGTTTTGGTGCAAGAGATCTACCACTACATTTACACTGATATGTGCAAAATAATCATAACACAACTGAGCAAAGCCTTAATCCCAAACTAATTGGTGATGTCAGAAGTACCATCCTACACATAGATGTCAAATAGCAAATGCTACTTGTTTAGAAGAAAGCACAGAATACAAGATATATTTCAATGTCTTGGCACTAGATTTAAGCATGAGACACAAATATTAGAGTATAGCAATGGCTTCTTCCATTAAGACCACATATTTTTAGTGTAAGTTGAGTATTTCCTGTAATGCTTATAAAATAAATAGCATGCAACAGACACTGTTAAGTGCATTTAATCTTGGCATGACAGATAATTCTGCATATCTCTAAAGGCCCTTAAAAAATGGTTCTCAACCTGGTCAACCCAATCCCATATAAAGCCACCTTGGAGACCAAATATGTTATCAATTGCTTCCCAATATTCATGTATATTTCCATTGCTGTTTCCCATTGCATGTGAATACCTGCCATTATTGTAACAAATGACCTTGAATTAATATAATTGCATGGCTGTGAGGATGCATTACTGCAGTTTAAAGTATTATTATAGAAAGTAAAACGAAAAGAATAAAGATAAAGAAGAAATGATTCAATATCAAGGAGATAAAGAGTCACATACTCGCACAATATCAAAGGACGTGTTTCATTTGGATCTTTTGCAATCTTCACTATGTCCCAGACACGCATATACATAGGGCATATAATATCGGTAGATGAGGTCCTGGATCCACCACCTTCATAATGGACTAGTCTTGAAGGATCCCTTCCACGAACCCATCCTAAAAAAAGTCTCCACATCATTAAATGACAAGAGAAGAGATAACATAAAAGGAGAAATAAGGATAACATATCCCTTAGGCTTGGTTAACATGATAATTAAATGCTGTCGTATAAGAGGAGCAAAATGAGAAACCTAATTGTGTTTTGACTTTGAGGAAATGACTCTAATTATGGAGGTATGCAAAGAAAACAGTATATGATAACAGTTGGAGAGGGGGAAAAGAAATAGAACTAATTGTGAAACTTCAAAAGTAGTCGACTAACAACTAAAGCCTTCTCAAAAGAGCATAGACTATTTTTCTAGTAAACATTTACTTGGAAAGTCAAGACAATGAAGATCATCATCATGATGTTAATAAAAGAATCAGAAGAAGAAATAACTCATAATAGTTGCTTCCAGAGACTCCAAATTTAATGGTCAGTGTATAGCAGAATGTAGTACCAGCTGAAGCAGAATGATTAGGTCCATATCCAGACTCATTTCCTAAGGACCAAGAAAATATGCATGCATGATTTTTGTCCCTTTCCACCATGCCTATAACACGGTCCATCATTGCAGCAGCCCAACCAGGTTCCTGAGTAGGATGCTTCACATGTCCCGAAAGATCAAAACCATGCGTCTCAATATTGGCTTCATCTATCATATAGATACCGAACAGGTCACACAACTCATACCAACGGGGATGTTGAGGATAGTGGCTGTTTCTCACAGCGTTGATATTGTTTTGCTTCATTACAACCAAATCCTGCAAGAAAAAAATGATGAATATCTATCCCATGCATCCAATTCAGTCATCAATATTAGCTGCAACAAGTTGCCAGTAAAAGAAAACAGTTGAGAAAGAAAGAAGTCATTACTTTAACCATGCAAGACTCTATGTTTGTCTTCCCCAGACGTGGATGATGCTCATGCCTGTTCACACCTCTTATTACAACAGGATGCCCATTAACAAGCAACTGTTTTGGGGCTTTAGATACTTGTCTTACACCAACTAGGCATGATTCACAGTCAACTACGTTGCCAGATGCATCCTTAAGTATGATAACCAGTGTATACAAATTTGGCTGCAGGAAATGGCAACAAGTAATTAAAAATTCAGATGAAAACTGACAGAGATTATTACTTATAACTAGTGTTATCGCATCAACATTAAGAGTAAATCATGATATAGAATCTCCATAAGGCATAAGAAAGTGTGAAAAGAAACAAATATAAAACTAGCATTAACAGCACAACCAAGTTCTGCAGACTTCGAGCCCCACCCCTTCTGGCTGCTACCAAAAGAAGTGGAGAATCCTAGAGGATCTAGACTAGCAAGCCAGATAGAAAAAGGGGAGGAAGCATGCCAGTGTCTTTTAAGTTTAATGAATAAATATAATAGTATAAGCTTAAAAAAATTTTGATTGACCAAGAATCTCACTTGTTCAGCAGACCACAGCTTGGGCTTTTCCAGTTTCCCCACAAGGACATAACCACGAAATCCTAGAGTTCCAGTCGGGACAGGTTTGAGCACTATATTAGCCACATTCGAAGAAAGCAGATCAACATTTTCATCATGGTTGTACCAGACCCCAGCATCGAATAATGCAGCTTCTATGGTAAAGTCCGTAAGCACTTTGTCTTTACTCATTTCTCTTGAGCAATCTATTTTCACTTCAACCTGAGCAACATGTACATTAGATGCAATATATATTAAAAATTCAATATATTACAATTATCTATAATACATAAGTTCTAATGCACCTGAAACAATAAATAAATAAATAACAAAAATGTATTAAGCTAATGAATCAACAATGACATCTATTAGGTATAGTAAAAAACTGCAGTAGTTCCATGCACATTCAAATTAGTCAACAATTCCAAGGGCTCAAGCTTAAGCCTTAACAGAATCTTCGAATCTAAGGCTATTAGGCCTTATGGTCTTATCTTCATGGATAACTGCTTAGTAACCATATAACTGCTTAGTGATTGCACTAAGCACAACTTTATCCATGATAAGAGTTTCACCACTCTTCTTAGATCCAAAATTTCCTACCCTATGTGATAGAATGAAGTGGAAGGGTTTATGCATAGGCTCTTTATTTTTCCTCTCTGATCCAACATGCTTCTGTTTTATCACATCAGTGGCATAGCTCTATTCTAGTGTCAAAAGGGCCATGTTTTGCTAAATCACTGGCCACAAAACAGAACAAAGTTAAAATGAAGCTCCGCAAGTGTGCAGCTATGGCAGTTGAATTAATTAGAAACTTCTGTAGGTTCAGTAGAACCATGGGTACACTTTCATCTTATTAAACCATGTCTCTCAAGGTGATAAGTTGCAACACTTATAAACAGAGAAATTATCTATCAGTAAGCTTCACATAAGGGGAAAAATCAACTAGCTTGTATCAGCAGGCAGCTTGATATCTCAATATGAGATGCACATACCAACAAGAAATATGATCACAGATGAACATAACTAGATCAAGTTCTTTATCCAATGGAAAACAAGAAAGCTTGAACTCAAGGCACAAATAATTTTGCAATTAATATTCTGAAAAATGCCAGGGATACTCTTGCCGTGAGTAAATCTTACCTGTATATCAGCATAAGAAAAATTGTACGCCAAGTTTGATTTGAAAAAGTAATCCGCAATGAAGACCTGCATAAAAATTAGATTGTTCTATTTTATTATGCAAGAATATACAAGATGACATTAAGTGGGCCAAGGTTACGCAGTATCTAAAAGAAAAAAAAAATGACAAATCTGGGTTTAAATCTACAAGATCAGGACTTAATGCTTCTTTTTCTTTCTCACAAATAATTGGCACGAGGTTCTAAAAAGTGTTTGTTCCATAGGTGGTCAATCCAACTCTAAACTCTGCAAATTTCACAACACCACAGCCATCACAACTAAACTTTCTCCTCTTAAGAAATCTACTTAAATGATTTGTCATTTTATTTTTTTTCTTTTTTCATGCGATGACCTAAGTCATATGAAAAATGTAACCCAGCTTAAATGATTTGTCATTTTATCATTCGTCTAGATGCTCAAAGGACCAATCAACTTGAAGGTGACAAAATGCTAAAGCACTCCAGCCTGGAAAAAGAGACAAATTGCCAAAACTTTCCCCGGCTAAACCGCCCAAGGAAATGCCCACTATTTCCTCCGAGAAACTTCATTGTAAGTTGCATAATCATCAGTGCACAAAAAGTTCCAACTCGTAACCAGATCTGCAATCAATTCTCCTGAGATATTCTTGCTATATAATTTAGTTTGTATTCATCAAATATTGATATATTTCAAGAACAAGCTTATCACCAGAAAAATATAAGCAATTCATGTTTAAAAAAAAAAAAGAGGGAAATGGAAAGCTGCAAGAGAGAACTTAAAAAGTGTGCTGTCTTTGCAAATAGTTTGATACACGTATAAAGCTTCAAGTGCTTCCCTGTGACATCTACTGTCCAAAAACTTATCATAACAGTGAAAAAGAAACAAAAGTAAAAAAGATGAAGAGAGTTATAACCTGTGGCTTAGAAAGGAGAAGCACATCACGGTGAATACCAGATAACCACCAATGATCTTGGTCTTCAAGGTAAGATCCATCACTCCATCTAAATACTTGAACAGCTAGAACATTCTTCTTGTCCGAATCAGATGAATAACAATATTCTGTTATTTCAAACTCAGCAGGCAATCTACTATCCTGACTGGCCTAACACAATGGAAAAGAATTTGACAAAAGTTCCAAGAGAGGATACCACATCAAACGCTCTAATAAAGGTTAACATGTGAAGCAGCTGGTTATTTATGCAACATAAACTGTCAAAGTATTCTTATAAAATTATATTTGGATGCTGCTTCACATAATATTTCTATATGAATAAAACAAGGCTCTCTGACAAGCTTGTATGTGTTTGTCTTTTTATGTTTTCTTTCTTTTTCCTTTCCACAATTGATTTCCATAGATGTTAATATTCAACAACACCATAAAATTCTATCATAAATTTGATCTTTTTCATCCTTTATCTTACAGAAGGCTTCAATTAAAAAGCAACTATTTTTCTACCAACAATATTCATATAAAGTGGAATTTACGATCTTATGATACGTAGAAAATGATCGAGATTAAATTTTCTCAAATATGCATATTGGGGTAAGCTATTAATAAAAATATTTTATGATTGACTTCTGACCAAGTCTCATGAAATTGTATCTGACTATAGATTGAGAATGGTGTCATTTAAAGTCAAACTTCTGCAAAATAGTACCTATTCCACATCATTACTTTAACTAGAATTATCTTAATTCATTCATAAAAAAACTTATCTCCCATTTCTCATTTCTCTGTCATCTCTTGAATTCAGAACATTAAGAGTACTTGAACTCAGTTGACAACATTTCTATAAATGAGAAAACTTTCCCACATGACGTATATAAAATACTACAGCAAGTATGCATTATGTACCTGTATCCAACAGGGACCCCATTTATCCACGCACAGAAGGCAGAATCAACTGCTTCAAAGTGCAACAAAATCCTGCGACCTGTCAAATATCAAATAATATTTTATGAAAAGATTGGTATCGTAGAATTTAAGGCAACAGAGTATCTAAGAAACACAGAAAGCAACAGTGATTCCAGATTTTAAGAAAGGATGAAAATACTAGGAATAGGTACATGAATTCATATTATCTTGCCTTAATAGTCTCAGAATTGTATTATTCGAAGGCGTGCACATGCTATGTGTCTACAGATGTGCATGTTTGCTTGCTTACACACACACACACACACACACACACACACACATATATATCTCCAATAATGATTACTGAAAAATATGCCTTAAGACACATAATCAGATTTCCCAAACAACCAATTTGGAAGTATAGAATCCAAAAAAGTAATTGCACAATTCAAAATGGTGCCAAAAAAAACCCTTTTGCATGATTGAAAATTCAATAACTATCAGAAAATGACCTAGTAAATTTAGGCACACATTTTAGAGAAGCAGAAGGCATATGTTTGTAAGAAAAGAGAGTGAGAGAACTCAAACAAAATAAATATATAAACAGATATGGAAGTTAAAACAACTCCAAAAGTTCATTTAATGCATACCAATCAAGAAGTGAAAACAGAATTAAAGAGAAAGTAACAACTAGAACATATTACCGGAACAATAACCCTCTATATTACCAAAACAGTCAAATAGATCATACCCTGCCATTGTTTAGGAATGTGAAAGTATGTCCTGTAACAGCCTGTAGGGTTATCCATAGGAACATGAGGAGGATCAAGCGGAATTGGATAAACAACATTTGTATAAATAGGCCGATCAAATCCATGCATTTGCCAATTGGAAGGAACTGTTTCAATTACAAGATAAACTTTATAAGAGAATGTTGTTTATGGTAATGATATTTAAAAATCAAAAGACAATTCAGAATAAAGAAATGGCAATAAGGTTGAAGTACAACTGTGGAGCTCAAGAATAATAACAAATAGGATCATCAAAAAGAAAAAGTGATAAATATCCAAATATCAGTCAGCAATGCCTATCAAACAATGGGCATCAAACTGCTTATCTCAACTCACAATTTGCCTATTAGATCATCCCTGACTGTGTATGTTTTGAGCTGAGCCGAAGTGATTGTGCCACCCAGACGTGATTGAGGTGGGTTTCTTTTTAAAAAAACGGGGATCAAATGGATTTCTATTAACTTACTGCTTCTTTAACAATTACTAGAAAAAAAAATTAAAAAAGTGGTAGGGGCAATTAAAACCATAATTGTAAAACCCTTCATATTTTAATATCCTATCTAGTATTTAAGTCTTTACTTGGGAAAAAATATATTATATATATTCAATAAAATAAAAGTAGCTTCACAGTAGTTTTTGTTAAGAAATTTGTGTCATTTTTTGTTAAGAAATTTGTGTCATTCTTTTTTCTGTGAAAAGCATATCTCTTCTCTTTTTTAATTTACAGTAAAGAGAAGGGGACAGACAAGGATTTGGTTTGGGCATGGGATGGGATGCCAAAAATAGATACAACCCGCCACCCTCCACCAAAGAGAAAACAAAAAGAAGAAAATAACAAAAACAAAAGTATAAAATGTAGGATCAAGAGAGGGTGAGAGCAGGAGAGATGAAGGATTTAAAATTGCATATCTTACCTGGCAAAGTTTCCCAATCAGAATCCTGAAATGCACTTTCATAAAACTTCTTTGGAACAGCATTAGGATTGGAAGCCAAGAAAAATTTCCAATAACCACACAAAGACTTGACAAAAGGCAAGCCTTTGACCCAAAAAGCAGCACTGTCAAGTGCTTCCTGAACAGCATCATCATTCCAAACTGCAGAGTTGGATACTGAAAGATCCACTTTGTTGCGTTCATACCAGTATCTAAGAGATCCTATCCATACAACAGGGCGTCAGAAATTCATAATTGAGATGTTGAACCAGTAAATGAAACTTACACATCAAATCTCAGTTTACATGTCTAAGGAAGCAACATTATTTTCGTAAGTAAATTAGATTCAGAGAACAAAAGATCAAATTACACTTGGTAACTTTGACCATCACCATGGATCAGGCTAACACTTATGCAAGCAAAAACAAGGAGTTCATGCAAACCTCTAGTTCCTTTGCAACAACTTACTAACATTCCATAATCAACAAATTGAAAAGCAAAACATCTGAAGAACCAAAATTCCCTCAAACATAAATGGTATATACCGTGATCGACAATAAAGTTCTTACGCAGAACTATCTGAACCAACTTCAGCAATCATTAGCTTGAATTGCATAACTAAAGCAACTAAAAAAAAAGCACACTCTGAATGACAAGAAAATCTGAAAATCAATCAAGAGTGTTCAAATCAATTGCCACTAAATTATAGTAATTTACTCCCATAGCCATTTACTTGTCCTTCAAAATCAATCGAACCCAAAGCATAAAATCAGAATGAACAGCCAAAACTTCAAAAACACAATAAACAAAAAATAAGAATAATGATTAGGTGCTGATTGTAAACTCAACTAAATCCAGAACAGAAACAACAACAAACCTCAATATTTGATCAAAAAAGGATAAAACAAAGCAAACTCAAGTATCGATTGTTAATGGAAACATCAATGAATATAAGATTAGTAAACCAACATAGAAAAGTCAGAATCACGGTAAGCATAAAATCTGACTATAGAAGTCAACGAAATACTAATTTTTAAGTCAAACTGAACTGAACCCAGAAATAAAACCAACAACAAAAATCAAATACTTTGATCAGCAAAAAAAAAAGGAATGAACCTTCAACAGATTCATGGCAATGCAAATTAACATGAGGATCTCTTTTTCTCCATTTAAAAAAAGACTGATCTTCCCACACTTTGTAACCATTTTCTGATGGAAAAACAAGCTGCCCCACTATCAAAGAAGCCATTTTTTCACTAGTTCAGCGTAAAGCGGAAGAAGACGAAGAGTTTATCAAAGTGGCAGTTTAATTGGGTTATCTTCTTTTTCTTTTCTATAATATTATCTGTTCGAGTGTTTGCAACGTAACAAATGACCATCTGGTCGTCGTAGGTTGTCACTTGCCACGTTGGCAATGTGCTTGGAAAATAAAGGCAGCGGGATACCAACATTATCCTTCATTCAATTTTGTTTATTTTTGTCCTTTTTTGTTTCAATAAGAGAGGAAGAATAGCTAATTCTGTTGAAGATGTTTCAGAAGATCTCAGATAATTGATCAAATTGAACCTTTAATTATTTTATTTCCTTCTCTCTCTCTCTCTCTCTCTCTTCATTTGCAATCCTTTCCATCAGACATAATAATGCTAGAAATTTTATGTTATGGATGTAACACACTATTTTGATTAACATTTTCAAAAGCTCAGCAAATTTGTCGTGACTTGGGCTATGAAATATGAATGGTGTATGGTATGGCAGTGCTGGGTTTTGATCATTTGCCTCTGATATCTGCACAAAGTTTTGTATTTCACCATAGTTGCCTGCTTCATGCCTGTTTTATAATGGGACCCTTTGATGATTGTTTGAAAATGTCAAAAGCTATCCTTGTTCTTTTTCTATTTCTTTTTCTTCTTCTGTCAAAAGCAATTCATGATTTCCAGTAAGTCGTATTTCTTTGAGATGAGTGGCATTCAATATTCTCATAATTCATCCTGCAGCATAACTGGATCAACTATCATACAATGGATACAATAACTATATTTATGTCTAGAAACATAGAAAGCAGAATGCGAGCAATGGATTAGACATTAGAATTTAGAACTCATCTCTGAGAACAATGGCTTTCCATCTATTCCCCTATCTTATCTGTGAGAAATTAGCAGGCTGCCGTCAAACCACTACTAACGAGAACAAAATGAACTGCTCATTTGTGGAAAAAGAGGGCAGTTCATGTTGGGATATGTGCAAGGTGAGTTTTGGAGGGATGTAAATACACTTAACATCGGCTTATTATGTACAAATGAAATGAAGCAGATGTCAGGAATGAACCAAGCGTCTAACTAAACCTTTGTGAGTGATATGAACACCTCAAAAGAGTGAAGTCTACTTCCTATTCTCCCCTTAAGTACTCTCTGGAACAACACTTCGCTCACGAAACCCTCCAGAACGAGGTTTTCTGAAATATTTTGCAATAAAAGCGTCTGCCATATCAGGATATTTCCCCTTGATGAAGTTGTCCAGACACTTGCGGTATGAGAAATCTTGTTTTCGACCATCAGTTGAGACGACATAGAAGCACCTGCTATCTGGGAAATTGCTGTGCTTGCTTACCTGTTTTGCATCATGCGCAGAGACCCAATAGTTGATTGATCAAGCATCCCATAAATCAGGCATTCATATTAATATGTACGGACAAATATATTAACAAGTACAACATCAAAACCATCTTTCCAAGGTAACCTATTCCAACATCAAGTATCAAGAGAATTTCCAACCAATCTTACATAAACTGAAAATATTGAGACTTGTTAAGCCAGGGAATTGTTCTCAGCTAGAAAGTAGGACAAAAGGTTCACTTAATCCTGTCATGATTACTCTTTTTTATTTTTTATTTTTTTTGAAAGGTGATTTTATTAGCCTCAGCGACCCGTATGCCATTCCAAGTCTCTTGCTTATTTGCAATAGACTTTCCATGGCACATTGACTTGGTCCGGCCATTAGAAACCTGTACACTTGCAAAAGAGACCACACAAAAACCCATTGGCAGTAAAGATCATGTATCCTAAACTCCTACCGTCATGATGATTTGACGTGCAATCATGTTTTTCCTGAGTCTTTTAAAAAATCTAACAGCACCCTTCACTCAGCTCCTTGTTTAGAAACCTTAAAACATACAAACAACTTTAAACCAAATCTAAAGCAAGGGCCATTGAGCCTGGGAGAAGTTTACTTGACTGTACAGCATAGGATCTACAAGCTGTGCGAACAACTCTATCTTATTATTGGTGAATCTGAAACGTTGGGATTATAAGGTAACGTGTAGAAACATGAAACATTTGAGTCAGTAATAGGGATTAATAGTGATCTAAGTAACTAACGGAGCTTAAAGCATAAAGCACAGAACTTGTTTACATGGATGTCATGGTCCACTTTGTGCAGGTCCAAATATACCTCTCCCTTTAATTTTAGCTTCACAAGTCAAAAGCTCACAAATCATACTAAAAGACATGGCCTAAAATTTTCCATGCACCAGAAAGGATAGGAATCATTCAAAGAAAAGCAATTAGGCAAAAACTGGATTAAAGAAGCATACCATGACATAATCAACACCGGCACCCATTTTGATTGCTTTGTCTGGATGGTGGGTGAAAACATTCTCAAGTATAAATGACTGATCAACAGCTGACAGTGAATCCCCATCGTTGTACCTTCACATAAGAACTTTCTATTGAGAAAACTGGGTAAGAGGAAAACATGATGAATGGAGCAGAAACTATAGACTTCAGGGCTGGGAGATGGGAACGTAGAAAGTAGGAGCATAGTTATGGACCCATAATAAATGGGCTAAGTAATTGGAAGTGTCCGCTTTGAAACATTTGTATCTAACAAACTTGAGCAAATCCTACAGCTTAAAGAATCATGAAAATTCTACAAGAACCGGTACCAAATATTGGACGTGCAAATTTCTCAGGTCTTCAAAGCAGAATAGAGTATCTAATTAACAAGAATTTCCTAAATCATGCAGGTCCATGTCAACTGGACATGGGAAAAGTAACAACACAAAGAAATTGCTTCCAACTTGTGAGGCAATTGAAAACCTTTATTGACATAGAAATCAAGTGCAAATGTAAGAGAAATTTACCCAGACTGGTGCATTATTTTTCTGATTGACTGCATCAGTGGCTCAACATCTGAGAGAATATCTTGCTCCTCAGAAGTAAACATGTCTAATCTTTGTCTTGTAGCAGTGTACATTGCAGCCATACTGGAATCATCATTCATCACTCGAGCTGACTTCACAGGACGATTCTTCTTACTAGCATCTGAAGCCCAACGACGTGAGCCCCTAGACTGTCCCCACTGATGCTCTTTTTCACTTTGAGTGCTACCCAAACCATTTGGTGTATCCCAGCCATTTGAACTTGCTGGTTGACTTGACTCATCAAGAGAGCCCCAACCTTGTGAACATTCTGGTGACTTTTGTTGTTCCCAGCCACTAGATTTGGAAGAATCATCCAAGGTTTTTGTAGGAATCGCATCTTGTGTTCCCCAACCAGACTGTGGCAGTGCATCACTAGCATCAGGTTTTTCAGATTCTTTTCCCATTGTTCCCCAACTAGTTCCAGCGTCCCAACCATTGGACTTGAAGGTTTTCTCTTCCATAGGGACATCTTGTGTATTATACTTTTTCATTCCCCAACCAGACAGTTCAGTTTGCTCTTTCACACAGGTTCCATCCACTTTCGGAGAGACATCTTGTGTTTTAGATTTGCTTTTCCCCCAATCACCCCACTCAGTTTCCATTGTACTGGTCACAGCTGCTGCAACATCTTGTGTTTTAGATTTGCTTTTCCCCCAATCACCCCACTCCGTTTGCTTCATTGTACTGGTCACAGCTGCTGCAGCATCTTGTGTTTTAGATTTACCTGTCCCCCAATCACACCACTCATTTTGCTCCGCTGTACTGGTCACAGTTGCTGCAACATCTTGTGTTTTAGATTTGCTTGTCCCCCAATCACACCAGTCATTCTGCTTCGTTGTACTGGTCACAGCTACTGCAACTTCTTGTGTTTTAGATTTGCTTGTCCCCCAATCACACCACTCAGTTTTCTTTGTTACACTAGTCACAGCTGCTGCAGCATCTTGTGTTTTAGATTTGCTTGTTCCCCAATCACACCACTCACTTTGCTTCGTTGTACCGGTCACAGCTGCCGCAAATTTGTCACCATCCTCAGCCTTTTTATTCCATGCGGATGACGCATCCCAACTGGACACCTTGTCTAAAGACACACCTTTCTCCCAACTTGACTCAGCTGGCTGAAGGTCTAAATCATTCTCAAAATCAGCTGCATCCTCAAACACTGGCTTATCCAAACCATTGCTATGTTCTGGAGACAAGCTCCATTCCGCCATGTTGTCCACATCCATTAGATCATCAACTTCTTCTCCTAGACAAGTGGTGGTAGAACTTGGACCACTAGCACTACTGAGCATGTGCAGAAAGTTGTAGACATCTATTCCACTCTTTTGATCAAATCCAACCTAGAAAAGAAATGTGAAAATGAGAAAATGCTACACTAAAAGATGACAAAAGCTCAAGGGATATCATTAATTAACTTCAAATATGACATACCTCCTTCCGATCCCATAAGACATCAAACCTTGATCCTGTTCCAACAGCGACATGTTTACCCCAAGAACAGGATGCAACAATGCTTGACAAGGAATCAACGTGACATTTCTCCGCAGCTCTCTCGAAGCACTTTCTTGGTGTCTATGCAACCATACAAGAACTAATTAATTCAAAAGGAATGTTGGTTCATCCAAGAAGGAAAAAACATGTACCTTTTCAACTTAGAAAGAGCAAAAACTGGCATAGATTACTTACAAACAGTGTTGCTTCACTAAATGGCACTTGAATATTCAACGAGCGAGATAGTGCTTTATAACCACCAGAGTTGAAGCCAATCAAATTTCCAGCACATGTCATGCTGTTTGCTAAGAGGATAAGGTGTTCTTTCAGAACACCTCTTGCCACCATTGACACTGAAGTGGAGAGACGCTGCAAATTTGTCACAAAAGTAAGCATTTTCAGTGACAGAGAAATCTCAAGAATGAAAAAATAAAACTTCAAGACAATTTGTTATCATAGCAGTCAATATAAGTTCCAACACTCATCCATTAATAGTCAGCAAAAGGAGATTCTGCTATGGCAGATGCCACATGTCCCAAAAATGCAGGACCAACATGAAAAGTATGCATGTCTAAACAGCCATCTAACTTTTAATCTACACTTAACATTTGGTCAAAATATACCTGTACTGCTTGTTCAAAAGCACAAGAAATTCCAAGCAATTCCTGAACTTGCTTTATTGCATAAGGTATAGACCTCTGGGTGTCAATTAAATTTATTACTGGAAGACAACAATCTATGACAGTCCTCCAGGCATCACCATTCCGCTTCACAGCAGATTTTTCCAGAACAACATCCAAAGCCAATTCACCCTTCTGAGTTTTGCTAGGGCTTCTTATCCAAGTTGTTGTATCTGGGCTAACCCATATAATATTTGCCGAACAGATACGGGGGTCACCTGTCCATTAAGGAATATAACAAACGGTAAAAACCAAAATGCAAACAACTTGCCCTAAGCAACCACCATAACCAGGTTCTCACATCACAAATTAAATAGAATTGAAACCTAGGAAGTATTCAAGCCCAACTATCACAAAATTTCGTCCAGCAAACAACTTGGGAATGGAACAAAATTGTGAATTAATGATGCAACTATAATAACTCTGTGAATATCTATTTGAGTTTTGTGGCCAACCTCTTTTTGGTCCCTATACACTGCTTCTAGATGCATTGAACTCAAAGAATCTAAAATAATTAAAAAGTATGACTACAGATTAGAGGAGACCACATCCACAGCCATTGAAGAACTTAACTCATTAACCTAATTTCATATTGAAAACTTAGGTTTCTATATTATGAGTTCTGAGTATCCAAATATACAGAAGAACTGCAATTTCTACGATTCCTGTAGTGCCAAGGACAATGGTCAAGGTAGATTATTTAGAAGTTTTGGTTTGTTTACTTCTATTCTTAGCTTGCATGGTATCCTATTTGCTACTCACTGTTCTCTCTCATATTTTGATGCAAGTAAAGCAAATAGCAAAGAGTGTTATCATATTCCATTAAAATGAGCAGATGAATCTACAAGACCTGACTCCCAGCCTCTCTACCAACATACACAAAATCTCCAAAAAATAAAAGATGAATGACTGTAGCAATAACAATTTCCAGCATGCTTGGAAATGACTATGATACCACTAATATTTAAGAAAGCTCAGATAGGATAAACAATTAAACCATATGTTTCCAGGGATCCTAGATGTTACCAAAACCCAAAGTACATTAAATACAATATGGTTTCAGCACAGCAGAAAGAAATTACACTAATTCTTTGGATTATGCTGTCATGTAAACCCAATATTACAAACTTGCATTATACTTATATAACAAGCACCATTAGTTTGGAAAAGTATAGAATTCAATAATATCTTTCAATTTTGTGACAAAGTGCTATAATTTGCAATGCACTTCTATTCTTTGTAGAACACATAGCATCAATAAGTCATGAAACTTATCTTCACTGCTAACTGGATATTAGATTAGTTGCATCTAAGATAAAAACCAAGAGAATGGAACAGAAAACTTGGAAAAAAACAAAACCGATCACACATCACCTCAGCTTCTAAGTAAACTTCACCAATATGTAAACTACATGGATAATATTTCATCAATAGAGAAACCAAATACCCAAAAATACAAAGAAGAGGCTAGGGCAGTACCCTTGATGACTGTTTCTAGAAGAACAGGGTAGATGATGTCAACCAGGTCTTGTAAAGTACTATCTAGATGATCATCTTTGGTATTTCGGCAAAAGAACATCAAGCATGGCATGTCAAGCCACTTGTCCCCACAGGATTGCTGTATAGAACAACATTCGCTGCCAAGATGTTCAAAGAGAGGAAAATTTATGTACATTGCAACACAAAAGTGCAATAGATCAAAAAATAGTAACGATGCTGAGTTACATGATGCAGGATGCAAATAAACAGATATACGTCATGAACAGACATCAGAAAAAATCAAACAGATAAATAGACAACACATGCTAAACACCCAACAGCAAAGGGCATCCCAAATTCTTTTAAGGTGGAAACCTACATGATCTATCAGGTTCCTTCCAAGCCACCATCAGCAGGGATTCTTGTCATGCAAATTTTTTACCAGTACTTCCATTACCACCATAATAATATCAGAGAGTCAATGCTATTACATAAGTTTATTACAATATAATCAAAGTAGATAAATGAACAGTATCAACAAGACCTACTCTTCACCAGTCCAGTAAGAAAAGAAAAATATCTGAAGACTCCATAACCAAGAAGATGAAAAGGGTCCATCAACATATAATTTCCAGTTGAAAAACACTGTTGAATATTTTCAACTCTTCTCTTAAAGATAACAAAACAAGGAGGCAACAGCTGCCTTTGCCATTGTCTGGATGGGAAAGGGAAATAGCAAACTAACATTGTTAATGTAAGAATATTGCTCAAGACAACAAAAATTGGCACAAACTAAGGCATCAATCAGCAACCATGATCTAGTCAAAACTTCAGAATTGGATAAGGCCAACCATGTTTGTGGCTGCAAAGCATTGAAACCGTTGCTAAGCCTCAAGTAAACAGCATGTTCAAAATAAGTATCAAACCATTGAATTGCTGAGAACTAAACCAATCAAGAAACATATAGTAGACCAAAAGGCATTATAAAAACCAGTTCAGAAAATACTATCTGTGCACCATTGAAACAATATCAACCAGCACATCTGAATCTTGCACTAACTCCAAAGATAAAACAAGGTAACATAATGGAAACTGCCCAGCAGGACTTCAGTTCCAATGTCACTTTTACATGTTAACAGTGATCAATATTATCTGTTTTGTTACAAGGATAAGGTTCAATCAGACTCAATAATCTAGTGAAAGTACCAAACATTAATTACCACAAAAAAAGATGCACTGATTTTAATGATTTAAAAATGTTCAATTGAATGCCCACACCAAAAGCCTGATACATATTTACATGGTATCCAAAGACAAGAAACTTAAAGGCACCAGAGCACACCAAAATTAGTTCAATATCATTTCACCTCAAATCAACCTTTAGTTATTTAATCTTTTCCTAAAGGAAGAATCTTCGGGTGATTAACATGAAACAAGCATATTTTACAGTTGAAGTCAAAACCATATCCAAATGTTTCAGTCTCGTATCCTCCACTAAAACCAAATAAAATAAAAGCATGAGGTTTTTTTTTGTTTTTTGGGTAAAAGGGAGGGAATATCAGCTCAAACCTAAGATCTATATCAATGTCCCACCCCACCCTTTCTAGTTGAGCTAAAGCTCAAGTGGTAAGAGATTTTCAATTTTCTCTTAATGAAAAGTGGAAGCAATTTTAGGATCTCAAAACAAGGGGAAGGTGCAGAGAAGTGGTAAAATCGGATTTTTTTTCTTCAGGACTCTGAACTGATAACTAATTGTTGATAGTTGGCACGTAAGTCTTATTTTTGGCATGAGTGCAGATATTGAAATGAATAGACAGCTATTTTACATACCACACTACTGTGATAACTGATAAGTCATACACTGCCATGCCATCAATTACAGAACAAAACACTAATAGCTTGCACCGATATATGCTGCTTTTCTAACCGGAGGAATTACAATAAATTTTACCAAACTACTAGCAGGAACCATTAATGAACGGTAAAATACAGAAAATGCAATTAAGCAAACCATGGCAAGTTAGGTGAAGAAAACTAACCTGAAAAACAAATCTGTCCTCTTAAAAGTATCAGCAGTCTTTTTCTTCTTACGAAAGGAAATAATAGTTTCTTGGCACTTCATATGAACATCTTGCATGCTAATATTTAACTCTTTCAATAGGGCCTGTTTTTTCACCACTTCCAAAATTAGATATCTTAAAAGAAGCAACAAGGACTCAATTTAAAGCTTTAAACATTTACCAAAAGATACAATAGTGTTACACTAAGTGTGGTAACCTTATTGAGGAGGATGTGACCAACAAGGCCTGCTTCACTTTCTGATGCAGTTTGTTGCTGCTTGTATCTGTATGCAATGAGCTAAGATTAGGACTTATCCTAGTGCATTAACTTAAGCATAACACTAATCATAGTTATCCCCTGTTTAGACAAGCAATATATTGAGAGAAAAAATAAAAAAAAATGAAAGCCCAAAAACCAAGTGATTATTTGATTAAACATACTCAAAGATGAGCTCTACTGCAGTATCCTTGAGTTTGACTTTTCTCAAATGATTCTTAACCAGATATGCTGCATTTTCTTGACAATACTTTCTCCCACAATCACAATCTTTCAAATACAGAATCACACGGCGGTCAACTAGGTCATTTTTGAAACTGACTTTGCAAAGTAATATTTCCTGAAAATAAGAAAATTTCTGTAAGTAATGAAATGTGATACTCAGAAAAGACACACTTAAGCACCACCTAACCATTTCATTCTACACATGCCACAATGGAGAGTACCTTCATCAGTTCCCAAGAAGAATTGCTGCTAGGAGTTGAATCAAGAACTGCTTTATATGCTGGATTTGACATCGCGGTAGCAGCTAAGACACCCACAGGTTCACCAGCAGGGAATTGAGGTTTAGTTCTAGCATTCAACCCATATTGAAATTGAATTATTGAATTGCTACTGATATTTCTAACTGTGCCATCATAACAAATAACAACATCACGAAGAATGGCCATCAAATTCTTAAACAAGGTCCCAGGTTCAGACAATCCTCTCGAGGAGCGAACAATGACTTCTCTAGTAGAGATTGAATGAACCATCGCCTCATACGGATCCAGCCCATGGAAAAAACAGCTCTTGATTAGTCCAAACTCAGCAGAAGGATAATCAACTCCATCAGAAGGATAGATGCTTTGAAATTGGTATGCCACATCTTCAACCAGAGTCTTAGAATAGAATTTTCCTTTATTAGAAAGCTGCAGTCCTAAGAACCCAATCTGCTGAACAACCTTATTAACAGTTGAATCACTCTTAGAGTCAATTAAGTCACCCAAGGCAGATGAATTTAGTATGAAATTTGCAACTGGTGCTTTTGCTATTCGGATGTGATTCTCCATTTGCAACCCAACTAATTCATTATATGTTGACCTTAACTGATAAAGCAAAGGAGAAACAACCTGGATGTCCTTCTGAATATTTTGTAGGACTTCCCTGGATACGGAAAAATCTTCTAGACTAACACTGAAGCCTTCTGCAAAGACATTCTCCATCAATAAAGGCTGTAGAGAATCAAAGAAGTTGAGAACCTCTTTTGGACCCTTCTCAAAAAAAATAGATGTCACAACTTCATTAATCACAGACTGCATGAGGTCCCTACTAAAATCTACCGTCAATATGTCACTTTTGCTAATCAAGTATCTATCTCCGGAGCAGTCTAGGCAGGCAGGAAAAGCAGTCTGCAGAATTTGTAAAACTGTCCAACAAGGGCCAAAAGAGTTACCCTTCAAGAAAGCAGGCTGTGGCAAAGCTGAAGAGAGAAACATTGACAATTGTTGAGCATCTGCCTTTTTAAACAAAAGTGTCTTAAGCATAACTCTCAATGACAACAATGAATCAGTAGCCAACTGCAAATTTAGGTTGCCATTATGAGAGCTAAGCAACTGCTTCTCCACTGAAAAGAGCTCAAAAACTTCTGCTTTTGCAGCTAAAGACTGAGGATAGAACAGGTGAATACAATCTCCATCAAAATCAGCACTTAATGGGCCACAAATTAGGGGATTTATCTTCACTGTGTGATCATCATGCACATATACTGAAAGAGCCTGCAATGAATGCTTATGTGTGGTTGGCGGCCTATTTATGAAAACAATGTCCCCATCCATAATTCGCCGATGTACCACCTGACCAGGTCTCAAAAAGGTATGCCCCTTCGAACCCTCCCTCAATGAATATGTGGAAGAACCATCTCTGTAGGTCAAACACAACTTGTTATCTACCAGATTTTGCAGATACCTCATGTTGTGCATGTTGACCCTCTCCTCAAACGTAATTCTCTGAGCAATTTCAGATGGAATGCCAATTTCATTTACCTTTTTGTATGGATCACCAGTAATCACACTACGTGAAGAGAACCCTGAACCCTTTCTAATGAACAATGTTCTCATTTTCTCCAGCCACGCCTTCGTTGAAGAATCACTAGCATCTTTGCTAATCCCGTATCGCGCATCTATATTGCGAGCTGCTTTAACAGTACCCCTAACTTGAAGATACTGCTCAACTGCTGATTGCAAATCATTAGCTTCTACCTCATGAGATTCAAAATTTGGGGTGCCGGATCGTGAGCTTTTGATGATCTCAACTTGCTTCAGAACCTTTTTCAGCATTGCTGTTGAAAGATCCTGGCAGAAATAATAGATGCTTAACCACAGAGACATAACACTAACATGTTCAGAGAAAGAGATCAAGAGATGCAACCTCATTTGCTTACAATACACTTACCGAGGACATGATACTAACACCGTCAGAAATGTCTGGTACGGACAAACAATTGGGAGGAACAGGCAAATACCACAAAATATATCCCTCCTGTGGGAAGAACCCTTTCCCAGAAAGCTTTCGTCTGGTCTCCGCAGGTATTCTCTTGAGAATTTCCATCACCTGTTAGTGATTTCAAACAAATTAAACTTAACCCGGAAACAATTGATATTTCACCATAGACACAATATAAAAAGATGTTCAGATGACAGCCTAAGAAACATTTTAGGAAACCTTATGCTTTCTGATGATACTTATTCTACATTCAGTAAAAATTCAAAATTCATCCAGCAAACCAACTACTCAGAGCAGCTTATGTTCAGGAACTTATGATGATTTAAAGATCAGATGCCTTTGGGTACTTTTCATAGCCAAATAAAATAATACAAAAATCAAGCTGCTGATGAAAGAAACCAAGGAAAACGAACAAAAGATCAGCAGATCTTGAATGTACTACAGTCTGCTTTAGAAGACTACCCCTAAACAAAACTTTGTGATACTAATACAAATACACGCATGTCTACAACCTCAACCACGTCTTATGTTGCAATATGATAAATAAAAATAAGAAATGTAAAGCTCAAAATAAAAGAATAAAATCACCAGAAAAACAGAACGAAAAGGTGAATCACACACAATGACTCATATCAAATCTCAACAAATAAGAACAAAGTGAAAGCCTAGGTCAGACACCCAAAGAGGAGAGCACTTGAAGCCAAACCTCACAAGGCAGCAGAGTTCGAGTGTTGTGATGATCACCATAGCGGAAACCATATCTCTCTAAAAATTCCCAGGAAGTCCTTGCTTGTCTAGATGGCTGCTTCAACTCCAAGCAAAAAGCACCATCTGTTGTTTTAACCTCTTTGATTGAAACTTGTGGAGCATTCTATGAAAATCAAAAGAAAAAAGAATAAGATAACAAAAGAATATCACACCTCTAACCGAAAAAACAGAGAACAAGTTCACAAACAAATTAGTCCAATTTCTGCCTACAGTCCAGTTGCTCACCCAATATATAAGGAAAACTTGCTCTAGGCAGAAGGGCTCACTAATATCAAGAAATAATTCTCATTTAACATGCAAGAGAAAGAATCAGGTAGAAAAATGTTAAGCACTTTCTCACCTCACAACAGGATGCTAACAATCGTTCAGAAATGCTGCCACCTTTAATCTGAAACTGAAGGGTACAAACTTAAAACCATCAAGCATGTAGAATACAACAGCAGATTTGGCAGCATACTAATTAATAAGAAGTAAAGAATTAGGAATCCTAGTGTTCATGAAAATATAAGGAATATTAAAAACTGTAGCATATGCAAAGAGTTTATAGTTTCAAATTCCCAGAGAAGAAATCAAGGTAATTCTAGAAGTTTCCACGTGATTAATCATTTTTTTTTACAAACCTGACAATCTTTAGCAGTTAATAAATTCACACACCGCTTCATGATTTGTCCGCATGTGATAGGGATGGTATAAGCTAAACAAAGGACAATCATCTAAATTGTTGATCTCAGTACAGAGAGGAAATAGGTAAAATGAAGGTAGACAAAGCAACTTCAATTGCAAAGAAATAAGGATGGCAAATAGGAACCTTTTACATCTTCTATGTACTTTTGTTCCTCACAAACATTTGGGAGAGCCATTTAGCTAGGAGCGGTGTGAGGCAATAGAAAAAACTTTCATCACTTTCACTAGCTGGCATGATTTTAATCATGTTGTAGCTCAAACAAGTGAACCATTCTTGGCAACACTTTATCTACTTTGAAGGGATGATTTCTTATAAACCATTTTTTTCCCGCTGTCAGTAAGGAAACAATATATATGATATTCTTATAAGAGTCAATTATTGATTGTGATATTTCTCTTTTTAATGACCTTCTCAGTTCATAATTTTAAAATATTTCTAGATATAAGAAGTCCAAATTCTACAAGGTTTAAACCCCAACATCCCACAATTTGTGTCTTGCCCTAATGAAGCATGGAACAATGTGATTAACACTTCAACCTAAAAGACTATGCATTACCTGACAACCAAATACACAGACCCTTCATCTTCCTCAATTAATGCAAAAGAGGCCAAGAGAGATCAGAGTCTCTTTCTTGTAAATGGAAACATTAAAACAAGAGCATCTATAATGGATAACGCAATAGTTGATATGCTAGTACCTTGTTCTTCATTTTTAAGCATTTCAAGCACAGCAAACTCAACAGTCGTTTCAATTCATTGATATGGCTAGGATGATATATTGGTATTGGTAATTCAATATATCCAAAATGACCTGAAAGCAAAAACATGAATGAAAAGTTCAGCTTTTCGAAGATATTCTCAATGGCATGATCTTTCTTCACTATAAATATTTTCTTTATTTTTCTTGTTTTCAACTTTTTATACACTGAGGATAAAAGTAAACACTTACACACCTTCACATTTACCAGGTTCAGAAGTACCACACGCATTACATTTACCAAATTCAAGGGGCAAACCAAGGTAGGAATTTGAGAGCTGACTAACATGGTTTATAGGAAAGCCACTGATTGATGCTGTAAACTGCAAATAAAGTTTATAAAATGGAAAAAAGTTAATTAGCATCACAGAATGAACTAGCACAACAAATTAGAAAATTGAGTCTAATATTCACAATATTTATTTGAGAACAAATACTTGCTAGATGATAACCCTAGTGAATCAAAAGTAGATTTCACAGAAAACACTGTTGGCGAATAATTCCATTTCGCAAGTTTAGATGCTAAAACTACTTCCAGAAAGAAACACAAATAAATAACAGTGATAACTCCTCTGCAGGAACCAAAATAGGAGAGGGAGGGGATGGAGCAGAAAAACAAGTAGACCATCCAAATATTGTATGTTGCAATCATCCAAATGACAACAGATCAAGAAGGAAGATCATTGCTATACTGAAACAAGCTAATGGTCAAATAAATTGGAGAAAAAAAAAAACAGATTACTACTTACAATTTCCTTAGGAGTTGCCAAACGGAACCCTATACCAACTATCTCACCATCTACAGTACTTGCTGAAGAACTTTCCTCCATCTCTCTTGCTTTAAACTGTAAGACAATACTGTGCAAAGAAACATTCTAATAAGTATCTATTGGAGAAAGATCTGGAAAAAAACCACAAAATGGTAAAAAGCCGATGCTAGCAATGTTCAAACCATTGGCAGCTTTCTCCATATTATTATAGCTCATTCAAATGTTTCAATTAAGGACAACATAATATTATTTTACAAATTCACCTCAGTTTAGGCTTTATACTTACACACGCTTCCATATCAACAGAATAACTCAGGGCAGAGCAAACTTGCTAGACATGAGAGTTTGCAGTTTTCCATGAATAACATTTATTTACATGCATGACGCAAAGTGAACAAGAGAAGAAAAGAGCGAGTGAAATAATCCAGCATACAGTACAAATCAGAGACGAAAGTACTTGTTCTTAATAGGTACTTCATGCAATTGAGCTTTTTCCAAAAAAGCATGAATTACAGTAAGTACAGCATATTATATCACAAGAAAAAATTTGTGTTATTCATTCCACTCACCGACTGATAGAATCAACAGAACTACAATTTATTTAATAAAATAATTTATTTAATGTTTAAGGGGACTAAAACACTTTTTACTTCAAACCATGACGAAGCAAAGACACTCGGCAAAGAGTAGTATTTATATTAAAAAACTATATTCAGTTATTCTATTAAATGAAGTAGCACACCCAAAATTATCAAAATCAGCAGCCAAAAACAAGAATTTTTAGCTAGCTAACTTCACAAAGTCATCCTGCCAAGAAACCAACAAATAGATAAAGGGGAAATATTTCTTGTATCTGGAATAGAAAAAGATTCATCTTGACTAAGGCCAACTAAACCTGACTAGACTTAAAAAAACTGTAATTCAATAGGAAGATAGATAAAGAAAATGCAAGATAAAAGCATGCATAAATTATAAGGAAAATAAAAAATCAAACAGAAGCTGGCTAGTTTTCTGTTTTATATATATATATATATATATATATATATATATATATTTTATAGAGTTTTCATAGAACCAAGCCAACCCAAAACACAAATGGCTCAAATTCCTTCCATTTCTCTTTCTTTCTTTACTCATTTTTCTCAAAAAAACCACATGCAAAAATTGGTTTAAACTAGAAGTAAAAAGAAATGGTAACAAGCCAAATTACCTCAAAATTTTCTTCTTTTTGGTCTACCTCAATGACATAACCCTGATAAAACAAAGAAACCCAGCAAATGGGTTTTAGCAAATAAGTCACAAAAAGAGCCTAAAAGTTAAAACCTTTGTTTGATTGCCAATAAAATGCAGAAAAGAAACAATGTCTAATATTCCAGTAACAAACCAACAAAACCCAAGTAAAAACTCAACTCAAAAATTGTAAAGACACAATCTTTTTTTTCAAAACTTAGGGGAAAAAACAAATACCCAGAATCCAAAAATGTCAGCTTTTTTTTTCCATTTTCTTCTCCTTTGCTACACTTTCTAAATGCCCAAACAAGCAAAAAAGTTCATAACTTTAAACCCTTGAGACTCAAAAAGGAAATTACCTCAAATGTCCTAGTTCTGTATTGTCTGAGACTCTGATTTTTGAAACATTAAAAAAATATATAAAGCCCTAAAAAAAACCCCATAAAAAGAGAGGAAACCAAATGGGTTTTCAGTGTAGGAGCTAAAAATGATTCTGAACAAACCAAAAAGTCTATTTATTGGGAGAAACCGAGAAGGGAAGAGAAAATGTACACAAAAAAAAACCAATTTATTTTGATTAAAAATTTAAAAAAAAAATGTCTCCCCTTGAATTTGTACAGTTTCTCTTTCTCTCTCCCTCTCAGTGAAAGAAAGAGAGAGAAGGGGAAGGAAAACCGCTTTAGAGAGTCAAATGAGAGAGAAGCAGTACAATTACTAGCATTCAGAAATTGGAGTTTTTAAAATTTCTTTTTTGCGTTTGCATGAAGGAATTTTTTGGCCTCTTTTTTAGCTTCTCCCTTTCTGTTTGGAATTTGAGTTGTTGGGGACCGTACACGCTAATTGGGTTTTTGGAGGGCTTTCTCCTTGGGTTCTGAAATGACACTAATGGGCTCCCCTTCTGCATTGTTTTTCTTTTTATTTTTTCTAATCATAAGAATTGATTTCATTACTTAAATTTCATTAAAAAAATTATTTTTTAAAAAGCATCACATGTTCTATGCATTTTTTTTATCAAAACCTAATAACAATTTAAAACGGTTACGTTTTAAATCATATTAATTAATATTTACTTTACACAGTATCTCAGAACATATAAAAAAAATCTTTAAAAAACTCAATAAAACATAATTTAAAATCATCGAACCACAACGGAATTTGAGTATCCTCTATACACAGTTAACTTCATTTACCAATTGAAAATAAATAGTGAACCATATACCCTGACCACTACTAGCAATGGCAATGATCCCATGCTTTCTTGTTAGAACGCAAAAGAATTGTGCATGCTTGTTTATTAGGATTGCAATAGATTCAAATCAAATTTCATTAATTCGTTTTGTGATTTTCAAAATTTCAAAATTTTTTAAACTTTTTTAAATATTTTTTTAATTTATTTAAATGAATTTAGAAATAAAATAAATGTTTTCATTTTACAAAAAAAAAATATAATTAAAAATACAATTCAATCCGATTTAAATAATTTTAAAATTTCAAATTATGAATCAATAATCAAATTAAATACATGTTAAAAATAATCGAATCGAAACTGAATCAAACATAATTAGAAAATCAATCCGAACCGAATCAAATGTCACGGTTAGAATCAATTTTCAATTTTCTTCAATATTTTCCTCCATCTTATTTATTTGTCTTGTTTGATTTCATAGAATTGCCTTCAAAGTGGAGGGTAAATTAGGAATTTTAATTGGTAATTTGGAGGATGAAGTCCGAGGGAGCGGCAACACAACAGCACCAATTTGCTCACACTTCTATAATGTTTCGTTCCTCGTTTTACTTTTTATAATGTCATTTAATTAATATGATTATAATTAATTAATTAATTGGATCTTGGTTAAAGTTATAACTATTCAAGGATTAAAAATTCATAATTGGGTCTGATTTTTTTTCTTCACTACTCATTTTTATGTAAATGATGATAACGAATGCATTAAAAAAATAATATGTAATTGTTCGATCAAAAGCACATTTACTAAAAATATAGCACAAAAGGTAAATTTTATTGAAAATTAAGAGTATTTATTTTTATTTAAGGATCTGTTTAATAATCGGTTTGAGACGAGCAAAATTAGAATCTTTAACGTTTTTATCCAAATTTTCAAAATATTTTAGTGACGTGCTTAGTTGAAAATAATAGACGGAATTGATTTTAAACTCAAGCTTAAATACAGATGATTAAATCATTAAATAAAAACAATTCTATATATATAGTATTAATAAATTATATTTCACATAGAATTTGGTTCTTCCCTCGTTATAAGAATGCCATTACTTTATTATATTTTATGGAATTGCCTTGATACGGGATTTTTAACATTGGTTTTCTTTCCTCTTCTTAAATGGGCACATCATTTGCAAACAACCTATTAAGTATTCATGCTCTTTTCCTCCTTGCTATTTCATTATTTGTTTTGAATAATTTGATCTTTGTGATTTTTTTGTTGATCTTCGGTGCTGGTGTGAGAGTTGAGTGTTGTACATGATAGGTCTGATTTGGAGATTAGTTGAGATAAACTTTTTATGTGATTCATATTGATGTTCATTGGTTTGGTTCCTTCATTTGGTATGTGCTTCTTGTAGTTTGATGGGCTTGGTTGGGAAATTAAAAAGTCTTTTTAAAAATGATTTAAGATCGTTTATATTATTCTTTAATGTATTTATAATTATATCATTTTTAATAAACTTAAATTTACGTCTGAGTTATTATTTACTTATAGATTTTTCTCAAATGAATAGCGTTGAACTGATGATTGATATATTGCAAAATGATGATAAACAAAAAAAAAGACTAATAGAATAGCAAGACCATTACACTTAAAATATATTGAAAATTTGTCACACTAACTTTAGAAGTAATGCAGGAGAGCAAGTCACACTAACTGCAAAATGAGAGAGGGTCAAGGGGTGTAAAGGGAAACAAGTCAAGTTCAAGGTACATGTTGTCTTCAATGAAGGCCCACATGACTAGAGTCAAAGTTGTGGTAAGTGAGCTAAAGGAGAAGCATGAAGATACTGAGCCACACATCAAGATGATTAAGTCCTAAGGATAACGAAGGAGGCCAAGTTAAGCACTGTCATGTTGTATTTGACGAATGTGGCATTTTTATGGTAGCATCATAAGGACAACGAAGTCAAGCTCAAAAAACATGCCGTGACCACGAGATGGGTTCATGAAGGAGCTAAAGCAACAATTCAAGCCTGAGTACACAAGGATGAAACCCAAGGCAAGGTCCACAAGTTCACATAGAAGGGTAAGGTTAGGGACTATTGTCTAGAGTTTTTTTAAGTTGTTGCTCATGTTGTCAAACAAGAGCCAAAAAGAAATGGCCTTTTGCTTCATGGATGGGTTAAAATTTTTAGTGAAGGATGAGTTGCAACACTGAGGCATGCAGGATATGAGCCGAGCCATTACTATGACAAAATCGATAATGGAGTTTGAGCTCATCGACCTTTCTTAACAGTGGCACAACAATGAGAAATAAGGTGACAAAAGCTTTTCATCTAAGGGAGAGGCTGATGAGAAACTTGCCAACCGCAAGCTCAAGACCGAGGACAAAGGCCAAAAGAAAAAATTCTTCAAGTGTTATTTGTGTGAAAGTCCCCACTAGGTGAGGGAGTGCCTAATTAAGAAAAATGCTTTCAACAATTGAAAGCAAGAGCAACGAGGACAAGTTGAGACAAAAAGAGCAAAAGCTTGAGTGGTTGTTATTTTGTCATTGTCTTTTGTATAGAGCTTATTTTCTGGTTGTTATGTGATGATACTTGTTATTTTTTTGTATGATCCCATTAACAACCTTGATGTTTTGCATTGTGAAGGCTACAACCCCACTAGAAGTTTTTTTTATAACCAATGAAGCACTATGATACTACCTTGTTGCGATATTTTTGTATTTTTTCAATGAAATATATTTACTACTCACCTTTCAAAAAATAAAAACAAAAAGGATGCAAGCGTATAAGTGCCACAGAGATGTATTAAGGATCCAAGACCTCCAAGGCAGTAGACAAACATGGAAAACCTATGAGGGAATTACAGTTGGGCACCATTAAAGTATGCCACGAGACAGAAACTTCTTTCGTGGCACAGTAAGGGTGGAGCAAACGTTGTAGAATGAAGAGGGTTAGGCGAGTGCACGAAACATTGTTGTGTTCCTTTAGCAACGAAGATGTTGCTAGCTTGAGTGAGGGAGAATATCACATGCTGAGTGACAATGAAGCCCATGAAGGGCCATCCAAGGTGCCGAGCCATCAAGCCACGAGCCATGGGTGAACTAGAGAAAAGACAAGTAAGTTATAGTTACTACTTGCCAAGACAACAAGCCTAACACACAAGCAGGCAACCAACTACATGGCCCAGTCAAACCGTGCAAC